CGTTTGGCAAGCATTGGTAAAACAGCCAAGTGTGAACGAGCCCTTAGAACCAGTGTGGGACAGCTGCAGCATCAGACGGATGCTGCAGCATAGACCTTAAAGGGACACAAACAGCAATGAGAACCTGACAATTGTCTTAACCCCTCTCCACTGTTGTCTTAAGATATACATTATTGTTAATTCATTGACTTAATCAAAGCAAGACATACTGGATATGAAATAAAGGATGTCCTTTGTCCTTGTGTACATCATTTTACCACAGCATAGTCAGAGGTGAATCATTGTTTCTCATGGGTCATTTCTCCCTCCGGCTGTTTTCTTAGTACTATGGCGCATGCATAGATTTATATTAAGACACTGAGGATTCCTGTATTGTGTCCTGCTAGGAAAGAACCCCTGGTGTCTAGCATTGTTATAAACATAACTGATCCCAAGCATCTGGATACAGAAGTAACAGAGTTCCACGAAGCAGCAAGAACTCTCTAAATTCTGAGACTAAGTAAACAAATATGTGCCTGGCAATATACTGCCATTTGTATGCCAATGTACTTGAGGAAATAGAAGCCACAAGCAGGATAAATATTTGTCTGGAATCTGTATGAAATGGATGTTTAGAATTTATTAGGTATTTTAAATTTGAATTACAGATATTTTTGCCATTTTTTTGCTAGAGTGGGGGAAATTGAGACTGGGAGTGTAGAGAATTGTCTCCATTGAGGGGACAAAAACACTTGTGGATAGATTTATAAAGCAACACATTTATTTATTTTATTACAAGTACACATATGAGGGCCAATTTAGATAGGATCCAATTAACCTACCAGCATGTCTTTGGAGTGTGGGAGGAAACCCACGCAGGCACAGGGAGAGCATGCAAACTCCAGGCAGGTGGTGTCGTGGTTAGGATTAGAACCAACGACCCTAGTACTGCCAGGCGGAAGTGCTAACCATTTAGCCACTGTGCTGCCCAAAAAGTGATATTATTATCTTCCTGATGCATAAATTATAAATTGCAGTGATTGATTCATCAGCAGTTAAATGTGAACTTCCAGAATTATTTAGCTTGGCTTGTATGTATGTATGTATGTATGTATGTATATCTGATGTCCACAGGGCTGCTGTAGAGTTCTGTAGTAGCCCACTCCACATATAAGTGAGGGCCATGATGTTATGACTTCTATGTGTGTGTGATCTCTGATTGGATGAGGTAGAGATCATGACATCGCCAATCTCTTCTCCACCTCGTTTACACCAGAGAACATTTTACTGCAGGAGGACGTGATCCAGCATTTCAGGGTATAGGGCGTTGCACATGTGTGCCCCCTTACCCAATCTGTGCTGTCATTTGGTTGGTCAGCAGGTCCTGGCCAATGATTTATAGCCGGGACCTGCTAACTGGCTTAGCGAATCACAGCGCACAGCTTTGTGTTTACTAACAACACAGGGCTCTGTACACACACAGCCCTATAGCCTAGCAAGGCTCTCTCCTTCTCCTCCCTCTCAATTTTCCCAGCTAACAGTCTGATTGGAGACTGCACTGTTCACTGTTTAATGCAGGCCATTGACGGGTCGTTTATCGGCTGAATTTTCATCCGCACACGAAAAATCGGCCGATATTCACGCCGTTAGTGGGGCCAGCCCATCGGCCATTTTTCGCAGATCTTCTAGTTTATTTTTATCGGTCATGCTGAAAAATCCACACATTGGTGGCAGCATCGGTGACAACCAATTTTTCGTTTATCGGCCGACAATTTGGCCGATAAACGGCCTGTCTATGGCCTGCCTAACTCTTTCATGGAAGCAGCACTGAGAGAACAGGAACCAGCAGCATTGGAAGTTCAAATTATAAACTTTAATGAAAATTTTAGCAAACCGTTTACTGGAGATTATCATTTTTTTTTTTTTTCACCATGCTGTTAAGCTAAGAAAAACTGCTGAGACCTTAAAGTGGTTCTAAAGGCTCAAGGTTATTTACCTTCATGCATTCTATGCATGAAGGTAAAAAAACCTTCTGTGTGTAGAAGCCCCAGCCGCCCTAAAACTTACCCGAGCCACGTCCCCATGTCCACGAGAGCTTGGGTTCTCCGGGGACTGTCACTCCTGATTGGCTGAGGCAGCAGTGGGAGCCATGGGTGTCAATCACAGCCAGCCAATCAAGAGAGGGAGGGGGCAGGGCCCAGCAGCCGCTCTGTGTGGGACATGCAGAGCTGCTGCTTGGGAGCACACCTGCCCCCATAGCAAGCTACTTGCTGTGGGGGCACCCGACAGGAAGGATGGGCCAGGAGTGCTGATGGGGGACCCAAGAAGAGGAGGTTCCGGGCTGCTCTGCGCCAAACCACTGCAGAGAGCAGGTAAGTATGAGGTTTTCTTTTTTTTTTTTTTTTTTTTTTAAAAAAGACTTTAGTGTCAGTTTAATATTACTTTAAAATGTTTGGTAAATGTAATCTTCTCTGCTTTTTAAGTATACCCTAGAAAAGTAGGAAGAGAAAAACCTCTGTCTTGCTGTTTGTATCATTCTTGAGCAGATCTTCTTGTGGAGATCTCCACTCACTTCTGCAGTGGTGAGAAATCGGAAAAAGAAGGAACAAACATGTTTCAGTAAGGAAACGTTAATAATTGAGAGGTGAAGCCATGAAATGTCATTATGGATGACAATGTAATTGATCTTTATCTTGTAATCCGTAGTAACACATGTTCAAGGGTTTATGTGTAACATTTAAATTACCAGATAAAATGAGCATTTTGTGTATATAAAACAAAATCATAGAAAATATTTTGATGCTTAGACAAGTGAAGTTGAACTTCCTTTTGTTTTAAAGTAAAAAGGCATGATAGATAAATGTTTAGAACTTCTCTGTATTTCACTCTAGTCTGTAGAGGTGAGCTGCATAGAACCTGTGAGCACTTGTATCATACAAGGTGTATATACAGCATGTTGCCCAATGGAGTAGACACTTATCTTTGCAATCTCGAACAGCAATTGCAAGCCAAGCGTTTGCCTCTCAGTTGTGAATAGGGTTGCCACCTCATCCTTTTATAACTGAACACATATTAATTACACAGGTTCTATGGCTGATTAAGGTAGCAATTAGTGCCTTATCTGCATTAATGTAGCCTCAGAACCTGTGTAAAGAGATGAGGTAGAAACCCTAGTTGTGATGCAATTCCATTCATTTACATGAAAGAGAAAGACAACATGCACTTACTTGAGTGGCATCATGTCCACTTGTAGTGAGTAGTAAAAACACAGATAAGTCGCTTGTTTTAACTTCCCCTTGGTTGCTAATGTAAAAGGAACCTAGTGGATCAGATTCTTTCTGGCTATATGGTTCAAGCTAAAAATTCACATGTTCTGCATGAAAAAAGGGAAACTTCATTACTCTGTAAAGTGCTTTGGGACAAGTATGTGTTGAGTGCCATTAAAAATGTACTGCATGACATTAAGTGATTGTAGAGTTATATTTTTAAAAAAACATGTTCTACTTACGTGATTTGTTCTATGGTTTTCCACAAAGCGTCCCTGAACCTTCCTTTGACTTCGCCCCCACTGGTGCTCTTGGCTTCTCCCTTCCAAGTGCCCCCACAGCAAGCCGCTTGCTATGGGGGCATTAATGTGGACTCCATTCCAAGACAGGCTAAGTGTGTGCAGTGAGGAGAGTGAGAAAACAGTGCTGGATTGAGATTGGGCTCAAGTAAGTGTTTAGGGGGACGGGGGGGGGGGGGGGGGGGGGGGGAGATGAACATAGAAGGTTTTTTGCATTAGAGAATGCATTAATGTGAAAAAAAACTTAAAGCAGAGTTCCAGCCGTTTTTGTGTTTATTAAAAGTCAGCCGTTACAAAAAGTGTAGCGGCTGACTTTTAATAAACACACTCTTACCTGTCCCAGGGTTCAGCAATGTACTCACCCGCGCCGTCCCTTCTCTCCTTCTCTCCTCCATGGTGTCGGCATTTCTGTTGTCAGCACCAGGCTGTGACAGCTTGCGACTCCACAGCTGGGTGCCCACTGCAAATGCCCGAGTCGCTCTGCACCTCCTGATTGGTTTTGCAGTCTTCTGGGACCTGTGAAAGGTCCCGGGAGACTGCAGGAGGTGCCTGAATTTCTGGCTCACTTTGCCACTGCAAACTGAACCAGAAGTGGGAGCAGGTACTTGTCAAAAACCGGTATCCGCTCCCCCCCCCCCCCCCCCCCCAAAAGGTGCCAAATATGACGGTGAAGGGGGGGGAGGAGGCAAATAAGCGGAGCTTCCACTTTTGAGAGGAACTCAGCTTGAAGCTTTTACAACCATTTTAAGGAGGTATTTATGCTTTTATGTGTTTTCTTTCACGTGGCGATCCAGCCAGTAAGTCTGTAATTTTTAACCTTCTTTTAACAGACCAAGCTGTGTATTAAAAGTGGCAGTTAAAGGATGAGACAAACCATTTACCAATGAAAGGGGTGCCTACCATGGTCAGCTTCTATTCATTTATGTAAAACATTTATCCCTAAAGGAAAAAAAAGTGTTGCTGTAACTTCCTAAAAGTGTTACCTGGCCAAGTCTATCTAAATCTGCTAGCGCATCTAGCACTACCCTCTCCCTAGGATGACAATGCTGTTGTCCAAAGATGTCTCCGTTGCTCCTCCAGTCAGAGTAGACACACCCAACGACAGGAAGTGTGTTAATGGCTGGATCATGGTGTGGAAATAAAGGAAAAAAGCATAAAAAAACGAATGCAGCCACCAAATCGAAGTATTAGTAGGCTGCTATATATTACATTTTTGTTTTTTATGTTAAATGTCAGTTTTTGAATAGATGTTTTTATATGCGTACAGTACGTGTGCATAACAGTAGTTGCGCTAATGCATACATCATGTATCTTATTTGTTTCGCGTATGGTCAGACTATAACTATTTTTGACAACATATAGCTTTATATATGTCTTAATGCAGTTGCACATTTAGTAATAGCATCTAATGTTATTGTGCTTGATTTTAAATGCTCTGCTAGTTGTTTTGGAATAAATGCTTTACACAGACCTGCTTTTCCTTCTTTCCTATACAGAAAATGCAACGTACAACTATACCAACTCTACAAACGGCAGCGCTCACGGAAATGACAAAACACAAACAGAGAACAAGTCATAGAGCTGAATGGCTGGCTAGTGTGCAATGAACAAGATGAAATGTTAAATCTGGCCTTTACAGTGGGATCTTTCTTGCTGAGTGCCATCTCTCTTCCATTAGGAATCATCATGGACAAGTATGGTCCACGCAAGCTGAGGCTTAGTGGAAGGTGAATAATCTTTTATGTGTTTTCAGATAATAGGGCATGTATTTTAAAACCAAGTTATCTTGTTGCCTATAGTGGCATCAAGCCAACCACAGTGTATTTCAGTTTCAGGCAAAGTATTTTGAGCTGAGAAGTTTGGCTTCTGCTATCTCATTCTAGGGATTACATCTCCTTACCACAGTTCATATATCCACTCACTTGTGTGCATTCTTATCATTGCATTTCTAAAAACAAAGCAAATTAAAGTGTCACAGCTGGTAATAGTGAGCCTGTGTGTTGAGATCTCACCACTGGTGACTCCAAGATATATAGTTAGCAGGTGGCTTAACTCTTCAGTGTGTAATAAATGCTACCCGTTTTGAATGCATTGTATTTTTGTGAATACGAGTGATCCTATATGCCAGAACAAAAAAAAAACAAAAATGGGTTTTCTTTTTCTTTCAGTGCCAGTTTTGGTGTTTCCTGCTTGCTTATTGCATATGGATCAAGTAATCCCAATTGTAAGTAAGCCTGCTAAAATATAAACATGAATTGCATGGTTAGGTTAAAACTTTGCACAACTCCTTCATGCATAAGTACTGACTTATTAAACAGATAAAGCGCAAGAGTAGGAAGTAAGCGATATGAATTTTTAGCAGAAATAGACTAGTTGATTTCACTATTTCCTGAGGCAGTTACATTTATGGTCTGCTGTGAATGAGAACTGCCACAGTTGCTTGTGCTCTCAACTAAACTGTCAAGCCATCAAATGGTTAGTGTCAAAACTAATCACGTGCAACACCATGGCAACTTCAGATCAAACAGAGGTTAAGGTCTCATGCACAAAATCACTACTTTTATAGGCCTTTGAACATTTTTTTTTGGCCCTAAATGCCCCTCCATGTTAATCTATGTGTCCATGCACACATTGGCGTTTAACGGTATGCACACCCAGAAGTCACAGTCCCCTTGCTAATTTTGCTGTAGAGTACAATCCTATTCCATACATGTGTTATGGTCCCAGCTTGTGATGTGCATAGAGCATCCAAATAATACAGATATTTTTTTTTTTTTTTTTTTAATTTCCCCCTTGATTATAGGGTGCACTAGAGAGTGCACATAGGATTCTAACTTAAAGTAAATAAAAAGTGCCATGTGAGAGTAATTGCACATGTAGGCTCCATGCACACTGGCTTAAAAAAATGCTGCTTCTAGACGAGTTTAGTGTTTTTGCCTTTAGAATCAATCAAAAGTATCCTATGTGTCCAAGCACATAAGGTAGCCATGAGGTGTTATTTTAAGTTCAGCATTTATTGTTTCACATTTTTAAAAGCATTTTTCTGGCAGAATAAAACGCTGAATGCTCCAAAACGCTAGTACAAACATTCTCAAAATTAGCATTTTTTTTTGCCTAGAGCACTGACATGTTTAAGCCAGTGTGCATAAAGCCTTAGGTATGGAATATCATGAATGCACAAATTCTTAACACCTTAATTCCTAAGCAGCGTCATATAAATTCACATATACTACATACAGTCAGGTCCATAAATATTGGGACATCGACACAATTCTAACATTTTTGGCTCTATACACCACCACAATGGATTTGAAATGAAACGAACAAGATGTGCTTTAACTGCAGACTGTCGGCTTTAATTTGAGGGTATTTACATCCAAATCAGGTGAACGGTGTAGGAATTACAACAGTTTGCATATGTGCCTCCCACTTGTTAAGGGACCAAAAGTAATGGGACAATTGGCTTCTCAGCTGTTCCATGGCCAGGTGTGTGTTATTCCCTCATTATCCCAATTACAACGAGCAGATAAAAGGTCCAGAGTTCATTTCAAGTGTGCTATTTGCATTTGGAATCTGTTGCTGTCAACTCTCAAGATGAGATCCAAAGAGCTGTCACTATCAGTGAAGCAAGCCATCATTAGGCTGAAAAAAACAAAACAAACCCATCAGAGAGATAGCAAAAACATTAGGCATGGCCAAAACAACTGTTTGGAACATTCTTAAAAAGAAGGAACGCACCAGTGAGCTCAGCAACACCAAAAGACCCGGAAGACCACGGAAGACAACTGTGGTGGATGACCAAAGAATTCTTTCCCTGGTGAAGAAAACACCCTTCACAACAGTTGGCCAGATCAAGAACACTCTCCAGGAGGTAGGTGTATGTGTGTCAAAGTCAACAATCAAGAGAAGACTTCACCAGAGTGAATACAGAGGGTTCACCACAAGATGTAAACCATTGGTGAGCCTCAAAAACAGGAAGGCCAGATTAGAGTTTGCCAAACGACATGTAAAAAAGCCTTCACAGTTCTGGAACAACATCCTATGGACAGAGGAGACCAAGATCAACTTGTACCAGAGTGATGGGAAGAGAAGAGTATGGAGAAGGAAAGGAACTGCTCATGATCCTAAGCATACCACCTCATCAGTGAAGCATGGTGGTGGTAGTAGTGACATGGCGTGGGCATGTATGGCTGCCAATGGAACTGGTTCTCTTGTATTTATTGATGATGTGACTGCTGACAAAAGCAGCAGGATGAATTTTGAAGTGTTTCGGGCAATATTATCTGCTCATTTGCAGCCAAATGCTTTAGAACTCATTGGACGCCGCTTCACAGTGCAGATGGACAATGACCCAAAGCATACTGCAAAAGCAACCAAAGCGTTTTTAAAGGGAAAGAAGTGGAATGTTATGCAATGGCCAAGTCAATCACCTGACCTGAATCCGATTGAGCATGCATTTCACTTGCTGAAGACAAAACTGAAGGGAAAATGCCCCAAGAACAAGCAGGAACTGAAGACAGTTGCAGTTGAGGCCTGGCAGAGCATCACCAGGGATGAAACCCAGCGTCTGGTGATGTCTATGCATTCCAGACTTCAGGCTGTAATTGACTGCAAAGGATTTGCAACCAAGTATTAAAAAGTGAAAGTTTGATTTATCATTATTATTCTGTTCCATTACTTTTGGTCCCTTTAACAAGTGGGAGGCACATATGCAAACTGTTGTAATTCCTACACCGTTCACCTGATGTGGATGTAAATACCCTCAAATTAAAGTTGACCGTCTGCAGTTAAAGCACATCTTGTTCGTTTCATTTCAAATCCATTGTGGTGGTGTATAGAGCCAAAAATGTTAGAATTGTGTCGATGTCCCAATATTTATGGACCTGACTGTATGCTTGCCACATAAAAGCCTTTGTTTCTGGGTATAGGATAGTGTATACGGAGGTTTTCTATTTGTGTGGGGTTTTTTTTTTTAATTAGTTGAACTGGATGGGCTGGATTTTTCAACCTGACTATGTAAGTATGTAAAAGCACTGAAGAAAATATTTTTTTCTTTTTGCTACATTGGCACATATGTCTGGATGCTGGAGCATACCTCCTTTAGTAAACCGTATTTGTCACAAAACATGTCTGCTTTGACAGGTGCATAGTAAAAACTATGTGTAGATACAATTTCCACGATTAGGATAAGACTATGTTGTTTCATGTTTGCATTGATACAGTAGTGTAAATGCATCTGGTTTAGTACATCAGCTCATAGCATACATTCTATTATATGTTACATTTAAGACTTAGGGGGCTTTTATAAGATAAAATGCAAGCCGATCCTGTGGTGTCTCACAAATCTTTGTGATTTGGAGAAGAGACAAGTCACATGACTTTGACAAGTTATGTGACCAGGATGTCCTGGCTTTGTATTTAACTTTTTTTATTTTATCAGTGCTCTGCTGGCTTTGGAGTTCCAAATCCTGCTGGCTTCATAAATGTGTGTGTGTGTTTTTTATTTAGGGTCCATTCACATATGCCATGTAGAAAACGCAGCAAATTCTGTACATTTCCCGCGCCGCATTGAAATCACAAAGTGCTCATCCGAACCACAGGGTTGTTAATGTTACGTTAACGACACCCCAAAAAGGTTCACAAAACACAGTGCAGTGTGAACACCTGTGCGGGAAAAAAAGGGTCCTGCACCTTTTTTTTGTGCAGATTTGGTGCGATTTGAGCCATACAAACGAATGGCTCAAATTGCACTGCATTGTCATCGCATATGATTTAAATAGGAATGTCCCGCACTGCATATATGTGAATCCAGCCTAAAGCAGAGATTTGACAATTGTAAGGCCAAACCTTCTTTTATAAATGTACCCATTAGCACACAACATACTGTCAAATGTGTTTTATTCTTTTTAAAACAGTAGTATATAGAAGAGGATACTGCCTCTCCAAGAAGAAACAATTAAACCCAGCTCTTGAAAGACGTATTCACCATTGTCTTTTTTTCAGGGTTTAATAAACTGAACATTATTTATTATGAAACTGAAATTATTTATTATGACATCTCTTAGTAATTGGCAATACAGACAACAGTCATATGCAATAATGTTTTTACATGTCAGTTTGGAAGCCTCAGTCAGTAATAATCCGTCTTTTTTTAATTTCCACTACAGCGCTGTCTGTGTTGATTTTCGTAGCCTTATGTCTGAATGGCTTTGGTGGAATGTGTATGACCTTTACGTCTCTCACAGTGAGTATGCAGTTGTTGCTCCACGTGCCATTACATTTTACTGTCTTTGCAGCGAAAATGTCTGCTATCATTGAATACACACAGGGATATAATTTATAACAAAGAAAGTAATATTAAGGCTGTTTTTTTTTTTTTTACTAGTTGCTATTGGCAATCTCCATTATTTTTTGCACTTGTAAAACTTTCACTCTGTGACTTGATACTCTATAATGACAAAGTTCTTACTCATTACAAACGTTTAGCCTAAATATTAGATCTAATGTTGCAACAATGTTTGCACCAAAAAGGATGATTGTTTGTAGCCAAAATGCTGACATTTCTGTGACAGCCTAACATAGACTTAGTACACCAGTGGTAATTCATCAGTTATATGTACAGAGAAAAAGTCAGTCAGCAATTCCATGATGTCTGCATTATGGGTTCTATCAGCTCAAAGGGCTACAGCACTGTGTGATCAGCTGCAGTTGCGATTATGGGCTGTACAGCGATGAGTCTTGTTGCTTAGGGACGTCAGTAGGTAACACACGCACACACACTCTGCCATAATGTGTCTTCTGTGTCATTGCCCTAATCTGAAAATGGGTTAGCTCAACTGTATGATCCCTGTTTGTTTTTCAGTATCCAGTCTTTTCATTCTATAAGTAGCTGTTTGTTTATGTAACACTCATCATAATCCCTTTAGGGCACTGGTCCTCATTTGTTTGATTTTATGGTTCTTATAGTAATCTCCATGTTGTATCGCTATTCTGGTGCAAGTGATACTGCCTAAACTGGCCATGCTGGGCACTTTTTTGTCATATCATTATGATTGTCAGGGCTACATATTCAAACCCCAAATATCAGTTTGACCCACTACAACACTTTTCACTGAATGAAGTATACAAGGATTTCACAGTATGCTGAAAACTGAACTTATAACCCAAATAGTTTACAAGTCTACATTGCCTGACTAATCAGAAATCTTTTTGTGGTAGAAAACAGCAGCATAACAGCAAACGGTTAATGCTGGCTTATTTTAGACAAAATGATCTTAAAATAGTTCCACTTCTGCTGCCTTCTGTTGCCTGGTTCCTGAATATCTGTGCAAAGATAGGAAGCCAGGGTCATCCTTGGCTTGAGACAGATAATTGTGGAGGGGTGTTTATCCTTCAACGGGATTACTGTCCTGCATAAGTCCTCATGCACACTGGACATTTTTACAGCTGCTGTTTTTGGCTTTTGACATTTTTTTCTACAGGCAGTAAACCCCCCAGCATGTTATCCTATGTGTTCATGCACACATAGACTGTAATCAACGTTTTCTGGCAGGGACGTTTTTTGGCTGAAAAAAAACCCCAGGACTAGTGGGTTTCTAGAGGAGTTTTTTAGTTGTAAAAATGCTCTAGCTCTGAAAAGGGCGGTAAATCGCGGCAAACCGGTGTTTTTGGATGATTTTTTTTTTATCAAAAAAATTTGGTAAAAAAACCCCTACAAACGCAAAAAACGAGGCTAAACGCTAATGCAAACTCTAAAAAATGCTTAAAAACAACCCCCCTTCTATACAAAAACCTACAGGAACTACATAACCGGTAGATCCTTATTTATATGGTATTAAATTCTGCTTTTGTATTTGAAAGAAACATTAATTCCAGCCAGTGTTCCTGTGATGTCCCTCCAGAAAGCAGCTTCACATGTACTTGTTTTTGGTGTTTCTTACATATTGTTCTCTAGAAATGTCCCTGCCATTTATCCTCAGAAATCCTTATCTTTCTGTGTATGCAGAAAACAGCTTGTGTCAGACAGAAACACATTGAATACTACTGTAACAGAGAAGTGTGCGATAACTGATTTGCCGTCACTCCCTTATCGCCTGCATACTGTCAGGTGTTGATAACTTATGACGCTCTCTTTTGTTCAGTGGTTCAACCAGTCTCCAAGTAGACATTCAGCTCATTCCCCATTTTTTTGCTGTTTTTTTTTTTTTTTTTTTGCATGATACAAGAAATGAAAGCTAAGCATCTTCTTCTTCTTTTTTTTTTTTTTTTTTTTTTTTTTTTTTTACATATCAATAAAAAAACAAATATGAATTCACAGTGTAGAGTAAGATAAAGCAGAACTCTAACTAAAAATAAGGTAAAAATGGATAGCCCATTAAAAGATAAAACAACAAAATTGGCTTTTGCTTCAATATTTACTTTCCTGTAGTACTTTTACTGCCCCTAGACACCCTCGATCTGATGTCCAGCATTGTCCAACCCGCTTCCGCAAAGCTCAGGTCATCTTGAACACATCCAGTCCCTGACAGTGAAAGGAGAAGCAGAACAGTGATGAGCTCACCTCTCTGTCACACTACTTTCTCATCTTATTAGCATGCTTCATGTACTGTTTGGCTGCTTGTGCTGCTTTTTTCTTTTGCACCTAATCCCTGCTGTATAGGAGTGTACAGGAGAAGTATTTCCAGATACAGCCTCTTTGGGTTCCTTGCTATACCTCACATACAAGGTATCAGCACTATGTTTCTCAGAGAAGCATATGCATCTAGCAACCCATAGCAAAGTTATTCTTATAATAACAGAGAATAAATTTAGGTTAAGAAAAAAAAAAGGGCAAGGCGCACATCACTTAGTGCAACAACAGACCAACCACTACTGAAAACAGAAACAGTGCCAGTCATATATTACATACATAGTTACATAGTGTGGCTGAAAAAAGACAAAAGCCCATCCAGTTCAACCATTAAAAAAAAAATATCTTATAATCCTATACCCACAGTTGATCCAGAGGAAGGCAGAAAAACACATTTCTTTTATCATGATCCAATTTGCTCCTGCTGGGGAAAAAAATTCCTTCCTGATCCCCGAGAGGCAATCGGATATTCCCTGTATCAACTAAGATCATAGATCTACTGTGGGCACATTCTAACAGTAACCTGAACAATAGCCTAAGAAGGTTTACCATGAGTGCTGTACAGACATTCAATCAAAGACCACTGATCACTCAGTCTTCAGTGAGCTGATTGCCGGTGACTGTCAGTCGCCGGCTCTCTGCTTCTCCCCTCCAGTGCTCACTGGAGCACTGGGTTGTGGAGAGTGCAGGAGCAGCTTGCTCAGGCTCTCAGCAGCTTGCTGAAAGGCTGAGCCAGCTACTGATCCAGGCTTCTGGATGGATCTCAACTTCAAAGTCTGGATCTCTCCAGAGCCTGAACCGGCTCAGTAACATCAGCTGACAGAGGACTTTTGCCTGCTATCCGCTGAAAACAGGTCACAGGAGTGCAGAGCAAAGTGCACTCCTATGATCCTTAAGAGCAGTAGGGCCAAAAGAGCTTTGGTCCTACGTCTCCTATAACTTCATTCTAATGACCATTAGTGTTTTTTACATTCCACTCACTTTAATAGCCTTCACCAATATGCACGGCTTACAGTGTTCTACATCCATAACTGTCTTGTTAATGGATTTAACAAGCATCAACTCTTGTTCTCTTCCCAGTATTGGCCCTATAGTGTGGGCTACTGAGAAACTGTACGATGAATAATATTACATACCAGATGCTTTGCAAGAAGACGTAATGGTTATGTGTTCATCATTTACTTCCTTACTGTGTCCTGGCTACAGATGAGAGTAAAGCTTAATGAATCATAAGAGGGATAAACAGAATGCTGGGCCATGTTACTTATTCAGATCTGGTTATGTTTTTTTATGACTTACTGATAAGACCGAACATGGCCTTGCTTAGAAAGCTTGATTAAAGGGATGAAATAGTTGCATTCGGACTGTTTGCTGCAGGCAAAACTACTGCGTTCCTACGAGCCGGTTTTTAAGGATGAGGTCTAGTGATGACTTCTAGCAATAAAGATGATATGCATAGAGCATTCAAGTATGAGTGTGATGTCTTCTGGTATTAACATTTACTACAGAAAGCAGTTTTTCTGACCTGTTCATGACACCTAACTACTGCATGCTTCCCTAAAGGAACCAATGCTTGCTGTAGATTTACATGAATGCTCTGCACTATTAGCCTGACACCTAACACACATGACATTTCAGGTATCTTTCTGTCACAAGGCTACTTCAGCTCAACCCTCTTTCCGACCCTTTCCTGGTGTCAACTAGTGTGTTCACGTGTAGAACTCCCACATAATTAATGTTCCTAACAGCCATTTAAAAAAAATTAGCTTAATGGTGGTAAAGAACATAATGTCCCTATGATAGATGTCTGCATAGCTGCTGTGAGGTTTACTTTTCTTCTGTACATTTACTATTTTTAGCCTGATAGGGTCAGTTTAAATGCACAGAAGATTTTCCCAAGTGCTATCATATTAGAAGGAACTGGAGGCATTGTTGGAACTGTTCTAAATGTCCATAACAAGCAAGGAGTCTGTCCTTTTCAGGTTTTTATGGCACCTTGGTAGTATGAGAGGGAAGATCTGACCCAATAAAACTGTAGTATAAACATGCTGACATAGAAAATCCTGACATTAGGAGAGATGATCTCATATGTCTGCTTGTTCTCCTTCTCCTCCATTCATAGGATGAGAGGTGACCAAGCTGCTTTGCTTTAACCATTTGCCGCCCGGCCTATAGCCGTTTGGTGGCCGCAAAAATGCATTCGCTTTCCGGAGTGTACGCCATTTGGCGTCCTCCCGCACATGCGCAGTTCACGCGGTTGCAGAGCCGCGCAGCGGCGCGATCTATTACCGGCCGTGTACCTCGGACATGGCCAATGACAGATCTGAGTACCGGCCCCTGTTGACAGTACCATGTGACCTTCTGTGACCAATCACAGCAGGTCACATGACAGTTGTATACAATGGATGGCTTCATTCATGCCATCCATTGTATACTAGTGTCTAGCTGTGAATGGTTACAGCAGGTCACATGCACATGTCATGTGATTAGCTGTGGCCAAATCACAGCTAAGCACAAAAAAAAAAACAAAAAAAAAAACCTGAATGAATCGATGCCATTCAGGTAAATGCTTGCTTATAGCAAAGTAATTCATGCTATAAGCAAATTGTGTAAAA